TGGTTAAGTATCTAGAATTCAATAATTTGTTGTTTGTAGGTTTTAGATGTGTAGAAAGTGTTGTTTGAGCAAATGTTTGGTTTCTGTAGGTTAATCTCAGAAGTGAGCTGCGTGAAAATGATGTATGGCTGCAAAAGTTGATTCAATAGTAGATGAGGAAATAAGAATTATTGCTTATTTTTTGATTGTTTAATTGATTTGTAAAAGATGATTTGTAAAAGTTGATTTGTTTAATTGATGTGAACATAATTCTTATTTGTGCTTGTTTAATTGATTGAAATGTAATGGTTGATTTTGTTGATTTCAATATGCATTATGTTGAAGGCAAAAATGACTATCATAATGCAAAATGAAAATCGCAACGAGAGAATCGCAACGCGAAATGAAAATCGCAACGACAAAAGCGCAACGCGAAACTAAAATCGCAACGCGAAACTAAATTCGCGTTGCGATTTTCATTTCGCTTTGCGATTCCCTCGTTGCGATTTTCATTTCGCATTGCGATTCTCTCGTTGCGATTTTCATTTCGCATTGCGATAGTCATTTCCGCGTTGCGATAGACATTAAGATGATTGCGAACGTCATTTCCGTGTTGTGATAGTCAAATGAATGCCTAATAAGTGATAACAACTGAACAGATCATAGCAATTTTCAAACTCAAGTTACTAATACATGCCTAACTGAAAATGTTAAATGTTCACACATAAAATCCACATAATACAACGTTTGCATTTAAAAATCACCTAAGTTAACAGTCCCAAAAGGTGAAGCCGGTTGTGATTGGGATTTTAAAGATGATTGCGATTTTGATTGCCTTTTTCTTGACACCATATGAGCTTTGGATTTTGATGAGGATCCATATTTTGGTAGAGGAAAAGATGATTGTGATGGAACTGGTGATCCACATGTCAACCTTGTATGACCACTTTCCTTGCACCGACTACATGTCGATCTCTTCTTCTCTTCACCCTTAGACGATATACGATCATGACTTTTTGGTCGGCCAGGTAGCCTTCTGTCCATGGCTGGTGGCAAAACTGTTTGTAAGTCATCTGGTATGTCCCACTCAGAAGGATGTGGAATAGGGTAGACAATCTCGCCATAAGTCTGTCGATATACTTCTGTAGTGTAGCAATCCATAGCGTATGTGCTTGAATCATCTTGGTTTAGATGAAGAGAAACTTTTATAACATGGCCACACGGATAACCAGATGTTTGCCATTTCATACAACTACACGTCTTTGCATTTAGATCGACAAGCCCATTTAAGTTATTATCCAGTACTTCAAACAAAGTGTTTGAACATGGTTCAACTCTCCATGACGTTGACTTCACAACACGTTTCGTTATCTTTTTTTTATGTCCATGGTGTAACACGATGTTCCAATGTTCCTGTAAATTTAAATAAATAGTACCTGCATGGTTTCTTTTCTTGTAGTTCCACTGTTGAATAGAGGCTCGAAAAAAATCCATTAACATAGTAATGGGTAATTTCCGGGAATGACGACTTAGAGCGTTGATTGATTATGCACTATTAGACGTCATGAAACCATATATTGCTCCAAGTTGATGTACTCTTGACCATCTTTCAAACCCGACATCTTCTAGTGTTTGAGCACACTGAGGCAAAACACGTCTTAAACAGTTTATATGCTTATTAAAATCCACTTCCCGATAAGCTTTTACAGCCTTCCAGTATGTCCATTTGTGATTTTTTATACCAGCAGACCTTGATTTTAGATTTCTATACAAATGAACACCACAAAGTCCATGAAAAGATCTGGGAAACACCTAACAGCGTTGTCAATTGAGTTTGCCCTATCGGATATGATTGTCAGATTGCTAATAGGACCTATATAATCCCTAAGATGCCCCATAAACCATGTCCATGAATCAGAGGTTTAAGATTTGCCAACCCCGTAAGCTATTGGCAGTATCCCATTGTTAGCATCCATGGCTACTACTAATAAGTTTACTCCGACCTTTTAAATATGCTTCGTCAACTATAATAACTGGGCGCATGCAATTAATAAACGAACGAATCTACAAAATCATATACACAAGAAATATAATCATTTAAATGTGAAATGCATGTAACTAACAAAAATGAGTCAACAAAATTATATTGATTTACTAACTGCAGCACTAATGGCGATAAACAGCAACTCAAAGCGTCCATCTCTATCTGTTTTGATATGAGTTACCGACCCAGGTTTTTTCAGCTTTAAATTGTGACAATAAGCTGGCAGTTGGGCAAACGACCCTCAACAATTCCAAGGTATAACATTTGGCTCTCCAAGCTTGAGAATATGAGATACTAATCTTGAACCGAGCATTCATGTCAGTCATAATTTCATGTCCCCGATATACCCTACCATTCAAAAACATTAACTCAGCCAGAAAACCACCCAACACCTTTTTGTTTGCCTGTCTATGGTGAGGAAAAACTTGGGTTCTTGAACATGTATGTTTATCAATAAAAGTCCTAACTTGAAACATTTCGCAATCTTTTATCCTCTTTGCAATTATACGCCACATACAGTTTTTGTCAATCATACACCTTGTTTCGAAACGATCTTTGCTTGATTTGTTAACTTTTAGTTGATAGCCATCTTCCACACATTTCGTATACAAAGCTATATTCAAGTCTTTCTTTGTATCAAAACAATCATCTTTCTTGATACGAATAATTTTTGTGTAACAATCAACTGCTATCTTTACCAACTCTTCTTCCGGTATCTGAAGTAATTCTGGCATATTCCAGTTATACTCCCGTGGCATTTTCTTCGGGGACTTTTCTTTGGGGATTTCTTCTTCTTCTTTTTCTTCTTCAGTGTTATATGAATTACAGAATGGATGTTCAACATGTTCATTTACAGTCGTAACTTCCTCCTCATTATCATCAACAACATCTTCCTCGGCAACGGCTGTTTCATCATCAAAATTCGGGTATTGACCAATATCAAAATCATTACACGCAGGGTCTGTTTCTTCTTCTGAAAATCATAAAAATCTGAGTATTGACCAAGATCAAAGTCTGGGTATTGACCAAGATCAAATTTCGAATACTGGCTAGTACTCACAATTTTTTTTGTTGGCTCATCATCGTCTAACTGGTCAATACGAAAACCGGAATTTGGTGCTGAAAGTTGATTGGGATTTGGATTAGGGAAAGGTTGTGGGTTTTGAGATTGTGTTTGGTATTGGAAATGTGGTGAAACAATATTTACTTGGTGATGAAATTGTGGTGGAACCATTAAATTTTGAGCACCATAAACTGGGGTTGAAAAACTTAGTTGATTACTACCCGTTACTGACCCAACTTCACTACTTCTAGGTTCAACAACATACAATGTAACATCATCACTTGAAACACTAATGTAAGCAATGAATCGTTCAACATCTTCATTGTCGGTTAACAAATAAACTTTACCATTTCTCTGATAAGATAGCCTAAATCCACTTAGGGGCTATAAATTCAATTTATTTGTAACACGTAGCATTAGAGTTTCATAAGTTAACTTTTTTAATGACAGTTTTAGTTGAAGATTCATGGGTAAAGGCATATATTGTAAAACACCATGAACATTCTCCCATGACCCTCCAAAACACAAATCTATCAAAACATGATCAACATTAGATGATTTCATTATTGTAAATTAATTTACTAAACAAACGAGCTGCGAAACTAAAACCTGTTGCCGGATGGGGAAGGATGTCGTTGGATATAGGAACGGATGTCGCCAGAGAGAGTGATAGATGGAGATGGAATGAGTTGCGATTTAGGGATTTAGGTTATGAGTTGTTGCTGCTGCGTAGTTATATACCCAAAACATTTGTGTTGCGAAATTAAAACCTGTTGTGAATTCAGAAATCGAGTTGCGAATTTGAAATTCAGTATTGCGATAGTTAGAATCTCGTTGCGATTTACGTAATCGCATTGCGATTTACGTATTCGCATTGCGATTTAGGAAAATCGCAACGCGAATTTGGGAAATCGCAATGCGATAGTCAGAATCACGTTGCGAATCTGGAAACTGATTTGCGATACCAGAGATCGCGTTGCGAATTATCGATCGCATTGCGATTTAGTTGGTCATTTTGGCAAATCCAAAAAAAGTTGGTTAAAATCGTATATTATAAGGCATTTTTGGTCACTGAGGTTATTTTCTCTATTAAAAATTATAAAATAAGGTTGTTGTTTTATTAAGTCTTATAATTGTTAAATTAGGCTTAAGAGTTACTTTTTGTCCTTGTAGTAAATCCAATTTATCATTTTCGCCCCTATGATATTTTCGTATAAATTAGCTCTGGAAGTTGTTTAATTGCATAAATGTTTAAAACATTTACTATTGTTTAGAGTTTTAATTAGAGTTTAGGGTTTAGAATGATATAATTAAATAATTTTGAGGGCTAAATTGTTGCGAAAATGTCATGGGGATGAAAATGATAAATTGGATCTACTACAGGGGCAAAAGTAGCTCTTAAGCTTAAAAATTACAAAATAATCATTTGACTATTCATATGTTACAAACTCGTCATTTTCCATTAGAAGTTTGACGATCGTCTGAGGTAGATATTAACTTTTTGATTAAGATATGATAAAATTATATTTTAATGATAACTACTGGCATCACTATTACTTTCAAGCACTAACTCGATAATGTTTCAAGCACTACTTGATGTCATAATGTAAACGAATAGTTGATCAACAAAATAAAGGTCAAATGGTTCTGAGATCATATTTTATCACATCTCAGTCAATAGGTTAACATCCAGCTCAATCAATAGGTTAACATCCAGCTCAGACAAATGTTAATTTTTTAACGAAAAACGACGAGGTTAGAACATATAATAGATCATATGACCATTTTATAACTTTTAATAGCCGGTCAACAAAACATCACCTTAAGGGACCATTTGTATACTTTACCCTTAAATTAATTGGATGCCAAAAGAAAACCAAATATAAAAGTGATGGGATAGAAAATTTTTTCCTTGTGGATTGATAATGACATGTCCCTCTACCTGAAATCAATGGCCAAAGATGAGTAAACCCCAGATTCTATCTGTAACTCCAGCAAACTGAGAAGTCTTACTTGGATCAGTGCCGGTAGTAACCGCCGTTCCTCCAAAATTACAGCTGTTCGGAATCGGATTCTTCTGAAAATAGCTGTTGAACGCATAAGAAGCATGAGCACCAACGGTGGAGGGATTGTAGCAGCTTCCACCAGGCTGAATTGCTCTACAGTCAGCTCCACCATGCCCACATGCATAGTCCAGAGCAACTTGTAATGCAGTTTGTGATGCACTTTGGCTAGCCACACACCAGCTGGCCCCCGGACTAGTTATAGTTGCCGGAACTGTCATTGGTGACGTGGTCACCGGAGACATCAGATCCGGGTCCGAATGAGGGTTCAACACTGGACTGGATGTTGTAGGTACTGTTGTTAGTGGAGTGGTAATGTCCTTTTGGTCACTGGAAATCCCAACTTTCCTTGTATCACTTGGACCTGAATCAAGACATAAAATTATAAATATTAAATCACTTTCTTATTTTCTGGTAACTATAGACCTATAGCTAATCATATAATCAAATGAATTGGGGGAAAACAGAGACAATTTGAAAAGAATGATGAAAAGCAAGTCACCTGGAAAGAACAAGAGGCAGTAAAAGAGGAATATCTTACTGCAAATCTCCATTGTATGTATATTTCTCTATCGCTGGGACATAGAGAACAAGGGCTGTAATAAACTCAGAGAATCATCAATGGTTCTATGAAAAAGAGATTTTTTTTGGAATTTAGTTTTTGGTTGAGTGATGACAGTAATGATGGCAGTGATGTGTGCATTTCTGCCTTTCACTTTTTCTTGAGAAAAAGTAAGATTACAATACTTAGAAAATTATGAACCTCACGACTATATAATACAAATATATATTTATATATGAGTAATCACGTTTGATAGGTTGATTAAGTTATTTATTTTTGTTTTTTTATATTTTATTAGGTCATGTGTTTTAAATTCACTGGGAGTACTCTCATTCCTTCTCCTAGAGTCCTCATTTACCTCCCCTTTAGGTAGGATTAGGAGGGCATGAGACGCAAATCTAACAGGTTATGACTTAACCCAATTGGGTTGGATTTTTTTTAAAAGTTTGGACTTGGATCGGGTCAGGTCGGATTTTTAGAAAGTATGTTCGAGTTGGATTGTGTTCGGGTTTAGGGTTAAAAATACTCGACCCGACCCAAAAAATGTAAATTTACCTTACATATTAGGGATAATTACAATGATAACTCTCAATATATTATTTTTTCAATTAGAACCATTTTTATTGAATAAAAATAATATTTTTATAAATATATTTATTTTAGGTCGGGTTCGGTTCGAGTTTTATATAAAAAATAGGTCTGATTCGGGTCGGGTGAAGTCACTCCTAAACTCGGGTCGAGTTGGGTTTCAGGTGGAGGGTTTATATTTTCGGCTCGGGTCGAGTTGATTGAAAATCCAACCCCACCCACCCATGTCCATCCTTAGGTTGGATTTGGATTAGATCTAGAATTTGTTATATATTTATATAATCTTAGATATAGTTTTAATTGCATATAAGGTATCTAAAATAAGGGTTAAACGATATTTTAGCCCATAAAATAGTTTCTTATTATTATTTTAGTATTTGAAAATTTTTAAAGTTTGGTTTCTAAATATAACGAACTTTTTTAATTGATTTATAGATGGAGCATAAAATAAAAAGAAAGGGATTGGTATATAATAATATTAAAGAATTTAGATTGAATATAAACATTTGAAGCAAAAAAAGATGTATTTATATAATTTAATTAACTGAATTTTATTATTATATCAAGGAGGATATGCAACTTTAGTATTCATATCTTTCTATCCATGTAAATTTGAGGAAAAAAATTATTCTTAGGAACAGAGAATTGTAACGCCCTAAATCTCAGGTTAGGAGTCTTAGGCTTTCCAAAGGGGTCTTAGAATAAAATTCCCTTAACTTATGAGAGGCTTGTCTTAGTGGGTTTTGGTTTGGTCTTGGTATGAACCCAATAAGTAATAAAAATGAAACTTTTAATCTTATACCAAAAGAAGAAGGACAAATTGGGCAAATATCCCATCTTTCAAAACAAAAGCTAATTCTCATGTGGGATGATATCATGGATTCATGTCTGGAGACTCCTCTTTTTCTTCACTCTCCCTTTTCTTCTTCCTTCTTATTCATCTTCCTCTTTCTCTCCAAGAAGCAAGAAAATATTGAAACTTTGTGATCTTACAAGCCCAAATTGAAAACACCAAAGTAAGAGTTATAATCTACTCTTCACTAACTTGCTTTCAACCCTTTAAGATCAAGATTTGGCCTAGTGACCTAAAATGAGGGTTTATGAAATCATAGGTTTTCATCTCGTTTTTGAAATATTTAAGTTCATAAAAACGTTCCTAACCTTATTCCAAGTTTCCCAATGGGTTAATGACTCTTTTTTTTTATAATAATTAGTGAAAGAGTTAGGAGAAAGCTTTAAGGCAATGGGCAAGGAGAAGATAGTCCTTGAGTGAGTTGAGGACATTTTCCAATAGCCTAGCACTGAGGTGACAAGTTTACAACTTGTTCATACCACATGTAGTTCATTAAATGTGCATGAATGATTAGTTGAGTTCATGAAGCATGTATAAGTATTTCATGGTAAATTTCATGTATGGTGTTTTCAACATAAAAGATAACTTCTTTTAACCCCTAATAACTCAAATAAGACTTAAATAGCATTTAGTGGCCTTGGTAGAATATATAGGTAGAATTATATCATATTTTTGTGCTCAAAACAAGATATTTCTAGGCACGAGAATCGATACTAGATGAACATTATCGATATTATTCTTCGAGTATGCCCAAACAAGGCGTTTCGATACTCTATCAAAGGGTATCGATACTGTCATAAGAGTATCGATACTCTAGGGGGAGTATCCATACCAAATGTTGATTTCAAATTCCAGTAGCCAATTTTGATACCAGTACTCGAGATAGTATCGATATCAGGATAGAAGTATCAAAACCCTACATAAGAGTATTGATACTCATCTAAATTTTCAAACATTGAAGTCATTTTTGGTATCGTTACTCGATGTAGTATCAATACTCTCCTATAGATGTATTGGTACTCCAAATAAGAGTATTGATACTAATAGTTTTCCCAAAACATTGAAGCTATTTTTTATATCTATACCTAGGATAGGTAAGGGTTAGTATTAATACTGCGAGGCACAATATCGATACATTCGTCATGAGTTGGGAAATTAACACAAGTCTGTTCTAACATTCGGGTAGGGAAACCAAGGGCCGACAAAACCTTATGCATAAGACTACAAGTGAGAATAACCAAGATAATTATAATTACAACTAGAAAAAAAATTAAGATGACATAAGACTGGCCTTGTGTGTCGCTCGAGAAATAGTCAGGACACCCGAGCCCCTTTAGCAGTATGACGATTGCTTTTCATGATGTAATATCTTGATATAGCTATGCTAGTGCGTTAGGCACTTCAATTGCCAACTAGGCACAAATTCCTCAAGACTCGACGGAGTAAGTTGGTCGGACACACGTATCTAATGCATGTAAAAAATATTGATCGTGCCCCAATGCTCAGGAGCCTACATGTAGGCTAGGGATGTAAGCTTCCGATGCAGGAAATTACGGTTCTTACCCCGAGACCCTCGAATATTCATGGTAGACTAGTGTGTTGTACCAAGATGTAGAAAATTCCTCCGACCACACCACTAGACCTGCCTTATGCTTGTTGTTATACTTTTGCATACCTATGACTTCACGCACCAGTATGTCCATGTAATGAATGCATGTAGTATTGCATAGTTATTAGTGTGGCATTGAGCTTGTGAGCTCAGCGTTTGGAATATGTTTCTGTGTGCATGTCAGTAGAAGATCGACGAGGAGCCTATCGCGCTAATACATTCCAGATCAGTCATTTTCAAAGTATGTTTTGAGTCTTTTAGAGGGCATATATTATATGGACCTTGTATTATTTCAAGTCATAACTCTATTTTGATTAAAACTCAATGATTGCATTTTGTATGTATTGGGAACTTACCTTATTTTGTAAGCTCAGGTTTATTACGTTTTATTGTTTTTTATTATGGATAATTTTATACGATGCTTTACAAACGATTTTGAAAGAAAAATTTTTTGTTAGCCATTTCGGTGGTTTGTGTAATGCTTTAATTGTTCAATCTTCGAGTCACACCAGATTAGGTTGTTACAACTACAAATATTATAAAAATAATATTAACATAACAATAAATCGTAAAATATTTCAAATAAAATCTATTCACACTTACTTTACCGTTTCTTTCAACAACTTGATTTGGAAAAAAATCTTTCTATCAGTGGCGGATCCAGGAATTAAACAATGGGGGTCCAAAATAAATATTATAATATTCATTAATAAAAAAGTTACATAATTAAAAATCCAAAATAACAATTCATTCAAAATGCACAAAAAAATACTAAACACTAGAAACAATTACAATTGTTCTCGACGAGCTTTCATTCCTTGAAATCATTTCAAGATTTTTTCATCATCGATTTGGACAAGAACATCTCTTTATATATAAGTGACCAAACAATCATTTAGAAATTGGTCATCTATGCTATTTCACAACTTATTCTTCACGATGTTCATTTTAGAAAATGCTCTTTCCACACTTGCAGTTGCTACGGGGAGAATCAATACCAACTTTATAAGCAAATAGACTTGTTGATACACTTGATGCTTCTTTGTCTCGACAAGCTTCATGGAAAGTTCACCCATATCTTTCAATAACCAAAATTTATCATCCCTCCGCATATCAACAATATAATTATCAAGTTGATCATCAAGGGCTAGTCTATCAACACTTGTAAATTCATCGGGATATAATTCAGCAAGTCTAAGTATCTTTTGTTTGTCAAAAGAAGAAAATTTATCAAGTGGACTCAAAGAAGCCATACAAGTCAATAACTCTATATTAACCTCATCAAATCGGTTGTTTGACTCTTGAAGCTGAAGATCAATAACTCCCAAGAACACTTCAATTCAAAAATGATGAATATTAGTAGTATCCAAACGATAACGTTTCTTTATTCCCGGAGGAGTATACACAACATCCATATTAAGGATATCAATGTTATTCTTGTTACAAAATGAAGAGATTATAGCAAAAAAAGACTCCCACTCGTTTTCCTCATATTTTGCAATCTTTCTTTAGTTAAAGTAACAAGTGACATAGCATTGACAATATCTTGATCTTTTCTCTGTAAAGCTTTGTTTAATTCATTCATAATCCCAAATATTCTCTTCATCAAGTGAATCATGAAAATGAAATCAAATGACTCTATTGCAAAACTCACATTATCGGCTTTTCTAGCATCATCACCATTTAGAGTATCGTTACCAATCAAATCAAGCACCTCACGTATTGTAGAATACAAATCAATGACATTCAAAATCAACTTATAATGAGACCCCCAACGTGTATCACCCGACCTACCTAAACCAAGCTCTTGGTTTAAACCTTTTCCAGTCACAATTTCACCATTTTCAAAGGCTTTTGCAATTTTTTCATCTTGTTTTCCTTTAAGCAAATGTTTTCGCCTACATGATGATCCAACAACATTCAACAAATCTCCAAGTTTATCAAAAAGCCAACCACAATCTTTATTTTTCTTAGAAACGACAATAAGAGTTAATTGAAGTTGGTGAGCAAAACAATGTATATAGTATGCAGATTGTGTTTCTCTCATGATTAGAGTTTTGAAACCATTAAGTTCACCCTTCATATTACTAGCTCTATCGTACCCTTGCCCACGAATTCTTGAAAAACTCAAAGAATGCTCATCAAGCAAAGAAAAGATAGCTTCTTTAAGAGACAAAGATGTGGTATCTCCAACATGAACAATTCCAAGAAACTGTTCTTTTATCATTCCTTTTTTATCAACATAACGTACACACAAAGCCATTTGTTCTTTTTGAGACACATCACTTGACTCATCTACTAGTATTCCAAAATAATCCTTACCAAGATCTTCCACAATTGCCTTGGTAGTTTCTTTTGGACAACAATTGATAAGCTCTTTTTGAATCAAAGGTGCAATCATTTGATTATTTTTAGGTGCATTTTTCAAAACAACATTTCCCAAATCATCATTCTTTTCTGCAATCCAATTCAAAAGTTCAAGAAAATTTCCCTTGTTACTTGATTCATCACATTCATCATGACCACGAAATTCCAATCCTTGATGTAAAAGAAATCTCAAACAATGAAGAGAAGTAATCAAGCGGATTCGGTAGTCACTTTTAGCTTGCTCGGTTTGTTGGTCTAAAGAAACTTTCAAGGATGACTTAAAGTTCTTTAAATTCTCAAACTTTTGAAAAGCTTGATTATGAGCACTATTAATTCCACCAACATGTTTTCTAAACCGAACTGGCCTATTCCAACCTCTAAACCCATTAACAAAAAATGCATCTCCTCCTGCAGTTTTGGTAGTTTCATTCTTAAACAAGTAACAAACAAAGCAAAATGCAGCATATTTTGAAACACTATACTCAAGCCAAGAATACTTATTAAACCAAGATTTATTAAAGCGGCGTAATGTACCTCCTCCGAAGTCCGTTTGAGGAAATTTGTGCTTCTTTGGTTGGAAAACACCTATTTGTATGTATTCTTTCCTCACTGCTTCTCGATCCATTGGATGATAATCAATAAATTTTTTCCTTTTAGCCGGATCATGTGGAATAGAGATATCATTAACTTGGCTTTTCATCTCTCTTGATGCAAATGTTGTACTATCATCTTGTGTAATACATGTAGATCTCATTTCGGTTTCTTGAGTTTGGAGCATATTATTTGAAGGGAAAGAAAATTCTTGTTCGACTTGAGTTGCTGAAGGTTGAGTTGGTGTCGGTGATGAGACACAAATTGGCACTTGTGAAGAACTTGCATCATTCTTTTTGGACTTTTGAACAAACCAATCCAACGTTTCATTCTTCTTCTTTCGTTGAGAGTTCATCTTTTCATCATTCATCTTCTTACTACTACAATCACAAAATTTACAAATCACAATAATTATTGATTATAATTCACTATTAGTAATTATATTTATTATCAAAGAAATAAGATCTTAATTACTAATTAAATAATTTTAATGGATTCAACTTAAAAACTAAAATATCTAAATTGCTTCTACTTAAATTACACAAATTTAGTATACCATTTTTTCTCCTTCCCAAAAATACATATTAGTAATTTTACATATCACAATTTAACATTCAAATATTTTTCATAAAATCACTAAAATCTATTAAATTGATTCAAAATTTATTTTTATCTCTTAATTTTAACTCACTCAAATTCAAAAAAAAAATTCAAAACTTACAAACTCAAATATAAATTTAACTAAATTTAAGAGGGTAAAAGAATGAGTAAGAACCTAATTATCTGAGGAAAAGAAAAGAGCAACAACTTACCTGTAGTTTGGTTGAGGAAGTTCACCGGAAAATTTAACTAAATCGCCGGTGAACGGCGTCGTGGCGGGTGGTTTGGACTCAAACAAAAGACTGAGAATTGAGTAGCAGTGGAGGTTGGAGGCTTGGAGTCTGTGGTGGATTTGAACTAAAACGTAAAAGAGAAGCTTTAGTAATAGTTGTATTATACTTTTATCCAACCAATTGTTTTAATTAATTATATAACCCACTAACTCATTAGACTAAGTGCTAAGAAAAATGGTCTCATCAACCTTTTTCTTTTAATTTTTGAATTTTTTAAACGAAAAGAATACAACAAGGCATTCTTCCCAATAAAATAAAACCCATTTGTTGATTCATCCCTAAGCCTATAACTCTTACGTTAAAGCTAATACAAAGGGTGTGCACAAATTTCAACAAATGCAGAAAAGTCAAAAAAAAATTAAAAAGGGTGTGCATAATTTTTATCTTTTGATATACTATATTAAGTGTTAATATTTTTTAAGGAAAATGGGTATGCAGATGCTACCTAGTAGGCCACATAGGTTCGCCCTTGCTTTCTATCCCATTTTTCGTCTATAAAAAATTTAACATATTAAATAAATAATTTAAGATAAAATAACAAAAATTTAAACAAATAATTTCAAACTTACTCAAATCAAAATAATAGAAAAAACACATCAAATTATCTTAAATTGCTCCTTCTACAATTGCTCCCTCTATCTCTTGCACTCTCTTCTAATTGCTGCTCTTTTCTTGATGTTCATTTCCGGACTCATTCCTATATATATATATAGTTGAAAAAATAATTTTATTAGCAACTAGTAATGGCAGGTATGGATTATACAAGGAATGGTTTGATATAGTTGTACCTAATGAGCACACTATGTGATATATATGTTGATGCATCATGCAGACAAAGTCGCATTGTAGTCCTGGCATCACACCCTTGAAGACACACTACGTAACACTCCGACCAGATTCCATGGCGTCTCTAGTCTTCACTGTAGCAAATGCTGTATCGAAGCAAATAATTCTAACTGACCATTATCATAAAAATTTTGTCTTTAAATATTATATTAATATTAAATATATAAAATAAATATTTATATTTAAAGTGAAATTTTTTTAAAATGATTTATGAAAATTAAAACATAAATTATTTTACAGAAAAAAATATTGATAAAAAAGTTAATTACGTTGATAAATAGACAAAATGAAATAAATACTAAACTTAATACTAAATTAGATAAATAGATAGATTTTAAGAGTCAAATCGTCAATAAAGTCAAAACCTTAAGGGTAAATTATACATTTACTCAATAAATTTTATTCTCTCTTTAATTTTGTCCATCGTACTTTTAAATTTTTTAATTTACTCACTAAATTTCATACATTAATTTTTTATCACTAAACCGTTTTCTTTTTAACAGTTGGATGATTTGGCTTATTTTATTAGTATATAGTGATAATATGTATTTTTATTAATTTTTAATTATGATATGTAATATTTAAAATAAAATAAATAAAATTCTTAAATTTTACTAATAAACCCTAATCCCAAATTACCACCCTCACCCTCCCACTCCTACTCCGACGATGAATCATTCTCCATGCTCGGCGATTCCAGTGTCCTCCAAAGTAAATGTATCATCGCGGAGATCAATTCCTTGGCGAAATTTGCTGACGAACTCGACGATTTCAACTGCAAAGCCCTCGAAATTTTGTGCTGATCCATCGCCCCTCGAAATTTCGTGATATCCTCCATTGATCTGATTGTCTGACGTTGTCGGCCTCCAAGCAAAGTCATCGCCCCTCGAATTTCTCTCTCACGCTAGCAATGTAAGTCGACATGCATTCCTCGATTCACGACCGCCATTGAAATCCAACTGCAAAAGCTTAAATGCTGACCCTGTCTCTCCCTCCGACCCACCAATTCATTTTCGTCCACCCTTCGGCCACCGGTAGCCCTCCGTGTATGCTGTATCGTGCCTCACTTGAGCTGTCTTTGTGCATGTTGATGAAGGGTTCGATTATTATGGCCGGTGTTGGTGGCGCTGCCTTGCTTGTGTTTGAGACTTTAGAATTTGTTCTTTTTTAATTGACTTGTTTTGGATTTTTTGTTGATTTGTTTTCATTGAGGTAAGCTCCTAACAATCTATGGTTCCTGTGACAACTCGATTTCGTTCATGGTCATCGTTGACAATGGCTAAAGGGGAAAAGCTGTTGACGGTGGGAGTGGGAGGCTGAGGGTGGGTTGTAATTTGGGATCAGGGGAACTTAATTATTATGTTTAAGAAATTAATTATTTATTTAATCCAGGTGTAATTTACACTATTTTTTCGTAATTAATTTTTTTTTTATCTAATTCACATCATTACGCCGTTAGATAGTTGATAATATCGTTGGATAGTTAATGATAGAGTGACCAAAATAATCTAATGTATAAAGTTTAATGAACAGATTAAAAAATTAAAAGTATAGTGATCGAATTGAAAGAGAAAATAAAATTAAATGAGTAAGCATATAATTTACACAAATCTTAAAGACTTCTGAACAGCAACAGCTTCATCTCACAACCAACAGCCTCGTATTTTGACGTGAACTTCAAGTTCAAACCTTCAAAAGCTTCATTGAAATTACACAGAAACTTCATTTTCTTCTCTTTTTCTTTATTTAACACTCATACTTCTGGATTTCTCTTTGCTTTCCTCAATCTTTCCCACCCCCCACCCCCACATAGACCTTGCCTTCTCTCCCCTTTATTCTTCATTGCACTCGTCAACTTTTCTCTTATTCTTTCTTTATCCAAACCACATCCCAAGGCTCTTTCAAAAAGATTATTAAAAAGATCCATCAACAATTCAGGTTTTTAACTATATATATATATATATATATTTATAATATCAATCTGCGTTTTCATTGATTCTTTATTTGTTTACATGTATAGGATGTTTACTTGCTTGCTTTATGACTGCTTAGTTTCAGCTTTCTTTTTTTCTATGTTCATATTTGTTGTTACTGATATATACATATATGTATCAATCTGGTTTGAAGTTTGATCTTTTTTTCTCAGATGGGTTCTTTTTAGTTTTGTTTGTATGTTATTCTTTCTGTGATGGCTGATGCATTGACCATTTCTTCCATGCTGCTTCCTTTTTTGACTTCGTCCTGGCCTTGAATGACATTTTTGACTGGAGTTGTGGCTTAAGATTTTATTTTGTTAATTAGATGATTTTTTTTCTTTAATTATAATTTCTTATGTGATTAAGAGAAAAATAAACAGGGTTTTGATTAATTTTATTACATGACAATGTAGTTTCAGACAAAGATGAAGAAATGGTTGGGAAGTGTCTTAATGGGGTCATTCATTTTGATCTTGATATTAAGATATAATGTGATGATCAAGGTCCCTTTCACGAAGAACTCCCTTCAACGTAGTGTCATCATCGGCGTAACTGATCCCCCTCTTAAATGGGTTCAACAACCTGCCGTTTCTCCGGCAGTTCATAGTCCGGAGTCCGTTAATCAAGTCGTTTTTGCGGACAAGTTGGTTTCAGGACTGTTCGTCGGTAGGAACTTCTCTAACGAAGTTAAGAGTTCTTTGTTAACATGGAATGATATGAAGCATATAGTTAACTATAGCAAAGGGCTACCGAATGCGTTAGAGGCTGTTCGAGAAGCTCGGATTGCGTGGGAAAATCTTATGGGTATTGTTGCAAAGAAGCAGCAAATCGAGGTGAATGAAAGTTCTGTTGATCATAAGGGGAAACAATGCCCCTACTTCTTAAGTAAAATGGATGATGCAAATTTTGGGGGTAAAGGTTATAAGCTAAGAATCCCCTGTGGCCTAATTGAAGGCTCTGCAATCACCATCATTGGCATTCCGGATGGTCTTTCGGGAAGCTTCAGGATCGATTTAACAGGGGAATCAGTTCCAGACGAGCCGAACCCTTCTATCGTTTTGCATTACAATGTTCGTCTCCAAGGTGATAAGGTTACCGAGGATCCCGTAATTGTGCAGAACACATGGACTGCGGCTCATGATTGGGGAGAAGAAGAGCGGTGCCCCTCTTCAACTGTAGGAAACAATAAGAAAGGTACTTCGCCAGCTCTATAGCAAAGATCTGAATCTTGGCTACATGTGTTTACTATATTCTTTGTGCTTGATATGCAGTGGATGATTTGAAACAATGCAGTGAAAAGGTTGGGAAAGTCGAAAACAGGAGGCTTTCAACCAATGAATCCTCGGGCATTTCTCTGTGGTCATCAAGGGTTGAAAACAGAACTCGAAGCAGGCCTTACTTTCCATTCAAGTTAGGGTATTTATCCGTCATGACACTTCGGGTTGGAGAAGAAGGATTTCATATGACCGTCGATGGAAAGCATATAACATCGTTCGCATACCGTGAAGTACTTTCTTAACATTTAATTTTCTATATTTTCACACCTGTAAGATGCCATTTTATAACCTTTCTAATCTTATAGGGTTTAGAACCATGGCTTGTGAATCAAGTAAAGATATCTGGAGATATAAAGTTAACATCAGTGTTAGCTAGTG